CTTCGCCCACCTCCCCCTACCCTTACCCCCCGTTTCCTCTGGCCATCACCACACTGTTGTCTACATCTATGGGTTATGCATATATGTTGATATACTTTCTTAGTCCCGTTTCACATATGTGAAAACCAAGTCTCTAAACTTTAGTGATTCGCATATGCTCCCACAGTCAGGAAGTAATAAAGCTGCAGTCAGTTTCAGGGGAAGCTCTAACTGCCCGAAGTCTACTCTTTAATGCTCACTAAAATGCTCTATATTTTAAGAGAGAGCACAGGTCCTGGCTCTGCGATTTATCAACCATGTCACACTGGTCAACTTACTGCTCTTCTTAAACCTCAGTATACTCACTTATAAAAAGAGAATTAAAATAGCATACCACCCCCACCCTTTACATTAGCATTGAGAAACTTATAATAATATCTGGCACATACTAGATGCTCATGAGTATTTGTTATTATAATTATTATTAAAGGTTACTGCTATCTCTTAAATTTTTGTTCTCATTTCTACTATTTATTTTTATTTTTTTTTGCATAATTTCAGAGCTGATTCCCCAGGTAGCACTCAGTAGTATTTAGGAAAAGTTGGTATTTCTAAAAGAAAAATATTTTCATATTTACAGAATGAAAAAGCCTCCGACGCTGTATATTTTCTGACAAACCGTTTGCTGTCTTTACACTGCTTAATTTCTTAATGACATGACCAAATTAAAGTCTGGCTCTTAGCATTTTCTTAAAGGAACCTAGATTTTGAAGTCAGATCCTGTAAATAAATACCATGTTATTTCTACAAAGGAGGCCAAGTAAACTCTGAAATTACTTCCCCATGTGTTTGCTCATACACTTATTCCAACGAGGCTGTTGCCAGCCCGAGTGGTATATTATGGGGATTAGAAAACGGAGTCCCTTCCTCAATATGAACTTAGATTCTCCCCCGGGGCATTTAGCTGGACAAGTTCAGCACAGCTGTAATTTCAGCTCCGGGCCATCCCCCTGGCGGGGTGCCCTTGTGCAGGGAACAACCTAAACCACCATAGGCAACGGCCCTGTCTTCCAGCAGCCCGTGGACGGCGTGCCCTGTCTCCTAGCAGCCCGTGGACGGCGTGCCCTGTCTCCTAGCAGCCCGTCGACGGCGTGCCCTGTCTTNCCCTTGTGCAGGGAACAACCTAAACCACCATAGGCAACGGCCCTGTCTTCCAGCAGCCCGTGGACGGCATGCCCTGTCTCNATGCCCTGTCTTCCAGCAGCCTGTGGACGGCATGCCCTGTCTTCCAGCAGCCCGTGGACGGCCTGCCCTGTCTTCTNTCTTCCAGCAGCCCGTGGACGGCGTGCCCTGTCTTCCAGCAGCCCGTGGAGGACCTGCCCTGTCTTCTAGCAGCCCGTGGATGGCATGCCCTGTCTTTCAGCAGCCCGTGGACGGCATGCCCTGTCTCCTAGCAGCCCGTGGACGGCATGCCCCGTCTTCCAGCAGCCTGTGGACGGCATGCCCTGTCTTCCAGCAGCCCGTGGATGGCCTGCCCTGTCTCCTAGCAGCCAGTGGACGGCATGCCCTGTCTCCTAGCAGCCTGTGGACGGCATGCCCCGTCTTCCAGCAGCCCGTGGATGGCCTGCCCTGTCTCCTAGCAGCCAGTGGACGGCATGCCCCGTCTTCTAGCAGCCGGTGGACGGATGCCCTTTGCAGCTGAAACTGCTAGACGCGGCCCTGAAACAAAGGCGCTGGAGAACACCTACCTCGTGATACTTTTTCACAGTCTTCCCTGAGGCGCACTTGCAGGACTTCCAGTTGGCGGTCCCACAGCCACAGTTGCCTCCGCAGCGCTGCACGAGCAGGCAACGTGGGAAGAAGACCACGCCGGTCAGCTTCAGCTCCTCTCGTAGGTTCACCGAGTAGTTTCTGGGGGTGCAGCTGTAACGCTTGACGTCGTCATTGAGCCTGTCCAGGTCAACTGGAAGAAGCACACACTGTGAGCAAGTGCCCAGCCGTAAGCAAAGCGCTGCGCGGGGAGGGCAATCTGAGCATGCCTTTGGTGTCTCAGTTACCACTCCCAACGCCAGAGGCGGACAGTCTAGTTTTCCTTTTGACCATCTCTGCCCTTAAAAAAAACCAACAACAAAGAAAAACCAAAGTCCTCAAAAATTTGTCTAAGTCTATACATTGGCTCAAATTTACTTGTATATTTTTTTAAAAAAAATTATATTTATTGTTTAAAGTATTACAGATCTAAGTCCCTTCCCCGCCAGGACTTCACCGGAATATTGTCTGTATCCATGGGTTATGCATATATGCATATAAGCTCTTTGGTTAATCTCTATCTCCCCCACAACCCCCCTTCTGTCTGAGATTCGTCAGTCTGTCCCATGGTTCTATGTCTCTGTTCATCATTTTATTTTGTTCATTAGATTCCACATATGAGTGAGATCATGTGACACTTGTCTTTCTCTGCCTGGCTTACTTCGCTTAGCCTAATACTCTCCAAGTCCCTCCATGCTGTCTCAAAGGGTAAGAGATCCTTGTACCTTGTTTTAATGCATAAACAATCTTCTGAGGTTAAAAAAAAAAAAAAGAAATGATCAGCAATTTAAAATAATTGTCTTTATCTTAAAAATTGCTTCTTGAGTCTGAATAAATCCTGACTCTAAGCTGTTACTTAAATATAATTTGAATTATATCAGGGACAGTCATTCTAATATATTAAACTGGCAATGAAATTTTAGAAGTAAGTGTGAGAAAGGGGTTTTAGCTTATTTCAACTCAAAGGTCAACCAAAACGTCAAAGGAAATGGCATTTTTTGGATTGTGAATATGGTGCATATTTGTGCATTGGGTCCTAGACGGTATATAGCTGAGTGGTCAAGCTACAGCTGCCTTCATATGACGGCTATGCCTCCTTCTCGTTAGAAGTTCCTTAACTTCCTCATCTATAAAATGTAAATAGTATAACTACCCATTTCACAGCAATAGCTGAAGGATTGACTCTAGTGTGCATGGCACTCAATGATGTTTATTATTATTCATTTTGATTTTTCCTGAATATTTTCCTTTTAAAGTCAAATGGTCAAAAATGAAAAGAAAAAAAAAAAATCAGGCCTTTCTTCTCTATTTCTTTCTTTTGGCCATTACTCTAAATACATGACTGTCCAGGTGGTATGGTTACTGGGACTTCTGTGAATGAAGAGGGTCACCATACATTTTTAAATTTTAGTCCTAGATATATATAGGAATTATGTTTACATTATTATATTATAGAAATTACATTTTAGTTAGTGGCCTCAAAATCCCTCATCCATCCACTTGACATGCAAATCCTCTAGCAGGTAAGCACACCCATGACTATGTTCTCAGAAGAAAGCCTCTTGTCTGCGAGGGTTCCACACCACTTCCGAGTGCACTTCCCTGTCACCAGAGAGGCTACTACAGGAGGGATCCCACAACCGTCAGGCAGGTATCATCAGGCTGACCCTGGACTCCAGTCCCAACAAGTTTTAGTTGTAAACCCCAACTGCTTGGGGTAGAATTCAAAGGCTAAGGATGCTGTCTGTAGACTGCACCCAAGGGGAACCAAAAGAAGGCACTAGTGTAGGTGAAGATCCCACTTAACCCCATGAAGTCAGCTGAAGGGCTGGCCAGATGGCCACATAGCCCCTTGAATAAAGAATTAAATGGGAATTGGATCGGTGCCCTGGCCTGAGTGCCTTTTATATGTGCAACTATGCTTTGATTTTTCAAGGGCAGGGGATTTCTCCCCAGCTCTTATATGCTGAGCCTGAGACACAGTGGGGGCTGAATAAATGCTAAATAATTACTGTGCATAATTTATTGCTGTGTTTTCTTCCTTTGTAAAGACGTCATAAGTTTAGCTATAATCAATCCAGATTTAAATTGAATGAACTCTGTCTTGGGAAAGGAACCATTTTATTGCTGCTAAGGCCCTGCAAATAACTGCAGGCAAAGCAGGAAGGATTACACAAATGGATTAAGAAGTGCGGCAATCATCCATTACAAGTGTCACCCTGAGATAAATCCTGATGCTGGCCTGTGCATTACCGGGCCTGTGGACAGGGCTGATGCAGAGGCCAAATCTGCAGCTTGTGATAATGGGAGTATATTTTGTCTAGCATCGCAGAGGAAAGAGGTACAATTAGCAAGAAGAGCTGTGACATGAGGAAGGCGGGGAGGTATAGGGAGGAGGTACCAGCACTGAGTTTCCCTTTAGCTCAGCCCTCTGCTGGGCACCTTACACATATGATGTTTCCTTGTTCCCCCCAATTCGAGGTGGGTATCACATACCCAAAGTGAATAAGTAGTAATCGGGAAAACTGGAACTAAAACCCTTTTCCCTTTTTCTCTACAGTCTTTGCCACAGCAAGCAGAATGGGAGAATGACAGGTGCCCAACAGCCGGAGGAAGGACACCCCACCCCATGCTGTATCAAGCTTTTCTGTGGGCTGTTGTACTAGGACTGGGGTGGCGAATGGCTATATACATATTTCCAGAATATATCCCAGCCCGATTTCCCTACAGGGATATATCTGGATCCCAAAGTGCCAGCACCAAACCAGAATAAGGGATGTAGGTCTTACCTGCCTTAAAACACAACTCTGCTCTTTGTATACGTTTCCTGACTACACTGGTCACTTCCCTTTCCAATAGGCCGCGAGCAGATTTACCATGCTCTTGGTTTCATGCATCAGCTCCCTGATGTGACTAAGAACTGAGGCCCAGGGTGACTGCTGCAGAATCCAGCTGCCTGTTTATCAGGGGATGGAAACCACCGAGGCGCTCAATTTAGAACTAGAACTAAAAGGTTCTTCTAACTGGATGCAAATAATTTCAAAGCAAGGCTGCAGACTCTCTGCAGGGGATATTGAGTTTCCAGTCAAGGGAGACTGATTAGCAGAGCAGCAGAGCAGGGAACCAGAGCAGGGGCTGAGAGGCAATTAAGACATCAGGTGGTACTTTGGTGGGAAGGGGTCTCTGGCACGAGCCTGCTGGGAGGGAGGGAGGCCAAGAGGTACAAATCCAGGAGGAAGGCTGCTCTTTCCTTTCCTGCTTCATTCTCCATGGCAGAATATCATAGGGCAGCGAGGATGTTCCAAATTTAATTAAAAGGCCCATTAATTTCATGTAATTTCCCTAGTTCATCCAGGTGTACATAATGTTATAATTCTTTTGCTGTCCTTTGGAATTTGAGTCTTTTTGCCTTTTCCTGGCTCTTTGACATCAGTTAAGTTTTTTGGGCTGTGAGCTCACAGTCTGTTGGAAAGGCTGAGAAGGTTTCACTGTCCTCAAGGGTTTCCTCTCGACACATTAATCCAATGTGGGGCCTCGCACAGTGCAGGGGGGCACACTTCTATCCGCAGCCCTGATCCCAAAGCACAGCCCAGTCACAGAAGCTCCCGGGGCTACGATGAGGGTTCCGGGCTTTGAGCACTGGGGTAGGAATGTGCAAAGCAGCAGCATATTGGAGAAGGCACACCCTTGTTCAGTTTCTAACCCAGGAAGGGCTAGGTGTGGGAGAAAGGAGAGCCAGCCTGATGTGTTTGATCCTGGCCATCTACACACCTAAGTACCAGGTACCATGAAAAGCTCTGCACATGTATGATGTCATGAAATCCCCCAAAATGCTATGAAGTACATGCCATTATTGCCCTTATTTTTACAGTTGAAGAAATTGAACTTTTAGAAGGTTGAGAACAAAAGTTATCCAAAGCCACACAGTCAGTGGTAGAGCCAGAGTTTGAATCCAGGCTTTTTCATGCCTCTTGCACCCATGAGCCTCAGTCTGAAGGTTTCAAGGAGGGTGCAAAGAGCAGCTTCCACGAGCCATGTTGGAGCCGTCCCCTTAGAGGACACTCAGTGTCCGAATGACTGGCTTCCTAGGTGTGCTGATAGGCACTGGGCTATGATTTTCAAGATGTTATCAATTACATATACCCAAGCATGTATTCCTGTGCACACATATCCATCTATCAGATTCTACTGGAAAAGTACACCATGTTTGGGCTAATAAACCAGGCAAATGTAAGAGAGCCTATTTTTTTATTTGATATTGAGCGATATAATGCGTTTCATCTTTTTTCACGTGAACTCAGGGGACTCTTGTCTATTCATGATTGTCATTTTGTTTTATCATTTTCTTTCTCTTTCCTTTTCTCTCCCTCTCTCCCTCCCCCTCTCTCTCTTGGTAATCCTCACCTGAGGATATTTCTTCCACNCACCATGTTTGGGCTAATAAACCAGGCAAATGTAAGAGAGCCTATTTTTTATTTGATATTGAGCAATATAATGCATTTCATATTTTTTCACATGAACTCAGGGGACTCTTGTCTATTCATGACTGTCATTTTGTTTTATCATTTTCTTTCTTTTCTTTTCTCTCTCTCTGTCCCTCCCCCTCTCTCTCGGTAATCCTCACCTGAGGCTATTTTTTCCACTGATTTTGAGAGTGGGAAGGGGAGAGAGAGAGAGAGAGAGAAAGACATCAATGTGAGAGAGCCACATGGATCGGTTGCCTCCTGCATGTGCCTGGACCAGGCCCAGAATCGAATCTACAACCCTGCTACATGCCCTTGACTAGGAATCAAACTCAAGACCTTTCTGTGCCCGGGCCTATGCTCTAACTAACCGNGATATTTCTTCCACTGAATTTGAGAGTGGGAGGGAGAGAGAGAGAGAGAGAGAGAGAGAGAGAGACATCAATGTGAGAGAGCCACATCGATTGGTTGCCTCCTGCATGTGCCTCGACCAGGCCCAGAATTGAATCTACAACCCTGTTATATGCCCTTGACTAGGAATCAAACTCAAGACCTTTATGTGCCCGGGCCGATGCTCTAACCGCTGAACCACACCAGCCAGTGCTTATCATTTTCTTTATTTAGATGCTTCTCTTCCACTAAACCATAAAATTCTAGGAAACAGAGTTAATCATCTTTCTATCCCTCCTCT